CAAAAAGACTCATGGCTGTATTAGATCAAAAGGGTGCTTCTACTAACTACTGAGCAAAGGGTCTGAATACTTAGGACCATGTGATATTTCAGTTTTTCTTTTTTAATAAATCTGCAAAAATGTCAACGATTCTGTGTTTTTCTGTCAATATGGGGTGCTGTGTGTACATTAATGAGGAAAAAAAAATTAACTTAAATGATTTTAGCAAATGGCTGCAATATAACAAAGAGTGAAAAATTTAAGGGGGTCTGAATACTTTCCGTACCCACTGTATGTATATATACTGTGCGCTTTGAATGTTCAGAAACATTTTTTTTTTCCATAACTTAATGAGAGCATTGACAAAACGTTCGTAGAACATATTTTGTTAGCGTGGATTAGGGTGAATAAATGATGTAAATTTAAATAAATAAATACATTTTATACAAATGTTATCTTTCAATAAAAATAATAGATTTTTGGGTGAATTACCCCTTTAAACGTTCTAAAAATGACTTGCTTAAATTAAATAATGATATTTCCAAAACAATGACATCACAGCTATCAGCTGCATTTGCATGTATGGTTATCCGAGGCATGTCACTGAATGGACCAAATCAACAAGGCTCCACTTCAGGGTATCTTTTTCTAACCATCCCACAACCTAGCCAACAACCTCTCCTGCCCCCTCATCTATTGTGTTAACCCCCAGAACCCCCTCTGAGCATCAATGACCACAACAAAGCATCGGGCAGAGCTTTAAGCTTCTAAGATCAGCAACCTAATGCAAAGCAATGCTAATGGCTAATAGTGCATGCTAAGCATTAAACTGACTAGCACTGAAACAAAGGAATAAATAAACTGTGAAATGGATTCAAATGCAGGCCTTCTGAGATGGGCCTGCTTGAAAGCTTTTTGTTGCCCTCGTGAAAGTGGGCGGAGGGTTTCGCCGATGTAGTCAGCAATCGTGTAAAACATCTGTTAAATCCAGAAACTCTGTTGGAAATAATGGAGCTGAGTTTAACAGCAAACAGCGTGGATTATAAGTGGTTAATTGGTGAACCGATGAAACTGAAGCGGCCCAGCCACACTCAGGTCTGGACAATGATCTACTGTATCGGGTCACGGGCGCTTGACCTTTCCTGGGATGAGTTCACGTTATCAGAGGATCTCTGATGCTCAATGACACCTATTGACACTTTTAAGAACCGATTACATACAAACTTTAACCCACCCGCTAATTGATAATGAGGAGGTATTAGCTGAAGCATTCTCCCTCAGGCTGCGGACCATGGCTTACAAAGAATTTAGTCAAACATGTCACCATTATGAAATATAATGAAGACCTCACTGCCACAGAGTGCTTTAAACCACAGGTTGGATCACTGACAGGATGTACATTTATTATTATTATTTTATTAATTTATTATTTTTTTATATACATATTCTGAAAAATGAAACGAACATGAAAAGTTTATGCGTACATAAAAAAAAGAAAAAAAAATTAACCAAATATTCTTATATAGAGAGTAGATATCTCTCTCTCTCTATTATTTATATATATATATATATATATACATATAAATAAGTGTATACATACACACAAATACATATATATATATATATATATATATGTGTATAGAGAGAGACAGAGTGTATATATACATACATACTATCCCATGGATAATACTCTCTCTCTCTCTCTCTCTCTCTCTCTCTCTCTCTCTCTCAAAACAAAACAACAAATAACCCCCCTTTTTTTTCTTTGTGGATACTTGTCATTGACCTAGTTCTCAACTGGTGGTCACAGCCTTTAAAAAAAAAATGGGTCACAGGTCTGTTCTGAAAAGGTTGCGGTTGGAAGAAAAAATAATACTCTCTCTCTCTCTCTCTCTCTCTCTCTCTCTCTCTCTCTCAAAACAAAACAACAAATAACCCCCCTTTTTTTTCTTTGTGGATACTTGTCATTGACCTAGTTCTCAACTGGTGGTCACAGCCTTTAAAAAAAAAATGGGTCACAGGTCTGTTCTGAAAAGGTTGCGGTTGGAAGAAAAAAAAAAGCTAAATGCAACTAATGCAAACGTTAACCATGCATGTTCGGAAAACAAAATATACAGACTGTTTAAAAAGACTTTAAAAATACCTTTTTTTTGTTGTTGACATCAAAGCCTGTGCGTCCAATTGCACTCTCAAATTCAACACAAATTCATCTGTCATTTGGTAACCAGGCTGGAACTAATGCAATATTTAGCACAGTGTTTCTTCCATGTGTTAAGCTGCTAAATGATTGAGTGTGTTTATGTAATTACAATGTTTTATTTTATTTTTTTATTTTGTTACTTTTGTGCAATAAACAATTTGGTACTGTGTTTGGGTTGCCACATGACATCTGATATAACATCTGGGTCCTAAAGCAAAATCAGCTGAGATTCACTTGTTTAAACTAACAGCTCATTTACCTTAAACGTTGTGTCAATGAAACCATTCAAGTCCACAATCAGAGCACCACACTAAAAGGGTCATCAGTGTTAAAATCTCTCAATCTCTGGTCCTCACTCTGCTCCCCCCTTTCTTCACCTGTTTTTGTCCTGGGAATGAAGCTGTGATGGCATCAAAATACTGTTCATCAATGGATCCTACACTCATTACTACTGAGTCTTTGTCACTTACAAAAGCTCCGCTGCACAGTCATCTGGTCATCTCTTAATACACACTCCAGGGATAATTGGCTCATTGCTGCAGGACAATGTGTGCAGGGCTATCAGGAAATCCTGAAAGGTTAAGACATATTGTACTGATTTCCAGGGGGCTTTATCTTATTTTTTAGTGGAGACTAATTAGCTTTATTTCTATGTTTTATAAACATTTGTTTCCTGTAAAGGGGAAGTTTCTACAGTGACGTTTATAATACTACATTAATTTTTAACATTTAAAAACACTCAATCTTTTAAAATGGTTTTATTTAAATAACAAAAATGTTATTTAGCATCAGCTAATTGTCTAAATACATTAATTTATACCAAATTAGTTAATGAGTTAAATCAGGTTAAAATTGCTCTTTAAGATGATAATCACGTTACCACATTTTACAGTGTATATATTCACTGGATTTGTGTGTGTGTGTGTGTGTGTGTGTGTGTGTGTGTGTGTGTTTTAACATAATTCATGAGTTACTTTTCAATCGACTTATCTTAAGCTCAGTCAGCTACCTTCATTTTTATTTTTTTTTATACATAAATATACAGTATACATGTTCGCATATATGCGTGTGTGTGTGTGTGTGTGTGTGTGTGTGTGTGTGTTTTAACATAATTCATGAGTTACTTTTCAATCGACTTATCGACTTCTATTGCTGTGTTCTAATAGGGTGTTGACATTTTATGAATTATATCATTGGCTGGAATGGATTTTGCTACTGTATACATTTAAGTTGTAATTCAAAATGCTCTGTTTTGGTTTAAAAAAAAAATCTCCTATCAACACATGTTAGTGGATTTCCCTTCTTCACTACATAATCCTATCTACAAATCTACAGATTTTTTCTAAATTCGTTGCTTGAGCAAATTCGTCAAGCTGACATATATTAGTTTTAGTTACATTTAGTCTAGTTGTAAACCAGAGCAAGATTAAGATAAAGGTAAATAAATGACACTAAGACCACTAATTCCTGAGATCTGTGACAAATATTTGTCATTTCTCTCTGTCTGTGTGTGTGTGTGTGTGTGTGTGTGTGTGTGTGTGTGTCTGTGTCTGTGT